ATTAATTATTGTCAATTTTGGTTGGCAATCGATTTACATCAATAATAGATATTAATCGATTATATTAATCATTGATAATTAACTTAAAATTAATAAATCATACATTACGTGAATATCAATATACATATGCATATTATCACATGTGATTAATAAATCATACATTATATGAATATACATATAAATATATATTTCGCATTCACATATTTTTTTACATTCTTTCGTATTTAATCAATTTTTCACATTTAGAACATAAAACTATTTACAAGAAATTCATTTACTCTTCTTCCTCGGCCGAATTTAGAAACTATGTGAACTGTCTTATCAACGCTTTCTATCGGTATACAACTATATTGTTCAGTTTGCTTTAATCTTGGACAGTTCCACAATTCTTCATCTTCGTCAGATATATCGTACCATCAAACAAGAGCGAAGTTAAGTGGCTCACATCCAGTAGCTCTGTAAAACTTGAGTAATAGCAATACCTAACGTTGACAATATATTAGTAAGTATATATGCGTTGGCAAGCACATTGGAAATTCTAAACATTCTTACCCTGCTATACCAATTTACTTCATTTCCTTTTTCATTTTTGGTGCTTACTATCACATCAGAGAACATTTCCTTTCCATGGAAGCTACTGGTAGCATGTACGATATCTGTACTTTCTAAAGCAACAGAAGTAAATATCTCTATTCGATTGTCATTATGAATTGATATATTTGATAGATTCGATTCTTCTTCAAAAAACTCATCGAGTTCATTTAATAAGTTATGATATCCCTCAATTTAAAGATGGTGCAAATTTCTTCTATGTGATTGAAGAAATACATCTATCTCCGTTAATTTCAACATATGCAATGATTCTCTATATCCTATTGTTCGTCGATATCTTTTGAAAGCTTCTCTCTTGATCAATTTTTGTCATCTTACCTAGAATATCAATAATTGATAATTATCAACAATTACCAATGATTGTTATAAGCAATAATAATAAAGACAAGCATATACCGTTTTTACTATTTGCTTCATAAAGTCTTTTTTATTAGACATCCAATAAGGTTATTTAACATAATTCTTGTGTAAAGTCTCGTAGATTTTTGTTGTCATGCTATTTATTGCTCCATATTCTTGGATGGCTGGCACTATATGATAGCACCACGCATGAAGCTTTGGTAACTGTAAGCCACTTGGAGAATAACGAGTGAAAAGATCAATGAATTCACGACCCCAATTGATAATGAGTGCCTATATAATAAAGCGTTAGAAATTGATATCAATTATCAAATATCCCTGAAAATAAGTTACTCTGAAAGATAGCTTATTTTTGAGATTATACAGTACGGTATACAATATACCTCAAGTTCATTACACGATCGATATGTAAAGGATTCCTCACAGATAACCAGGTACATTTGAAGAAATTTGTAAAATACTTTGCATAACTGCTTGTTACTAATACTTTGTTCAGATGTCTCATAAAGGTCATCAAGCACAAAAATAATTACTTTCATTATATTCCACAAATCATTGGCAGTCATACGTGTCAACTCGAACGCGTTTTTCATTATTTTAAGGCCATGAAATCTAGGAATCTCTG